AGATGGGAGGAGGTCGGTGTTGGAATGGATCGATGTTGGAGATGGGAGCCGGGACTCTTGAATTATATGGGAGGGAAAATGAACCCTACAACATATTTGGGGCAAAATGAAGCGGGTGAACGAAATAATCCCTACCGATTTCCGACGGAACAACAAAACGCTAGAAAAACTAGGGGTGGGGTTCGAACTCGGGCATGCCACATCCGATCATATGGGGTGCTTACTATTTCTTATAGAATACAAGTTTCCTTGCCTTTATTATTATTATTATTATTATTATTATTATTATTATATCCATTATTATTATTATTATTATTATTATTATTATTATTATAATTATTATTATTGATGGTGCCTATACATCCATTTGCACCGTTGAAACCCATTACTCATTTCAAGTTTAATCATTTTTGTGTATGTGTATGTATACAATGGTGCACGTGTATGTATGTATGTATGTATATATTATGTATAACTTGGTGAAAACAAAGTAATCAATGAATAATAATATTGTGAAAAAAATGAACCGAAAAAAACGATATTTGACCCTAAAAAATGAAAAATAGAAAAAAACTTTCGTAGGTAACATCTGTAGGTAAATACCGGCGGATTACCAACGGATTTTGCATTCTGTAGGTAATCCGTAGGTATTTAACTAAAGATTATCTACGACAGTTTTTGTATTTTTCATTTTTCGAAGGTTAAATATTGTTTTTTTCGCTTCATTTTTTTTCACAACATTATTGTACATTGATTACGTTGTTTACATCAAGTTATACTTAATATAAACATATATACATCCATGTGCGCCATTAAAACCCATTACATATTTCAAGTTTGATAATATTTTGTGTATGTGTATGTACACAATTGTGCACATGTATGTATGTATGTTTATATTATGTATACCTTGGTGAAAACAAAGTGATCATTGAATAATAATGTTGTGAAAGAAAATCAGACGAAAAAACATTTAACCCTCGGAAAATAAAAAAATAAAAAAATGTCCATACATAATCCGGATATAAATATCTACGGATTTTGTTTTTGTAGGTAATCCGTAGTTAAATACCCATAGATTACCTACGGAAATTTTTGTATTTTTCATTTTCCGAGGGTTAGATTTTTTCGCTTCATTTTTTCACAAAATTATTATACATTGATTACTTGTTTCACCAAATTATACGTAATATAAACATACATACATCCATGTGCAACATTGAAACTCATTACTCATTTCATGTTTAATCATTTTTTTGTATGTGTATGTATACAATGGTGTACATGGATGAATGTATGTTTATATTATGTATACCTTGGTGAAAAAAAAGTAATCAATGTAAAATAACTTTGTGAAAAAAAACCGAAACGAAAAAACAACATTTAATCCTCAGAAAATGAAAAATACAAAAACTTTTATAGGTAATACGTAGGTAAATACCTACGGATACTGGTTTCCGTAGGTAATTTGTAGTTAAGTACCTACAAATTACCTACAACTTTTTTTTTTGTATTTTTCATTTTCCAAAGATCAAATGTCGTTTTTCGCGTCATTTTTTTCACAACATTATTATACATTGATTACATTGTGTTTACAAAGTTATATATACATACATACATACATACATACATACACACACACACACGCACATATATATATATATATATATATATATATATATATAGACTTAAGTTATTATATTCAAAGTATTATTGGATTGTATGCATAAATGTGGGGGCAAATCATTTTACTTATTTCAAGAAAGTGATTAATACATATTATTGAATTAAAATATAATTGAAAAATACCATCTATTTAAGTAGAAGGGTATTTTAGCAATTAATATAGATAATAAAGGACTTTTTTCATATTTTAAGGGATTATAGATTCTATTAATTTTAAAAATCCGATTTTACGAATTATAATGTTTTTAATTCGGACATTCTGATAGAATATATTTCAGTATGTTCAAAAATAAAAATATTCTTGAACCATAAAATAATAAAAATATTCTTGAACATATTTTTTGATCATGACTTCAAATTTTTTTTTTGTAGAATAACAAAATTCTCGAACCTTCAATTGAAAAATTAAAACAAAAATTACATTACTTCTTATAGAATACATGTAACAATTGTTAAGAATTACATTTATTGTTAAAGAATAAAACTAAAAAACTTTCAAATCGGGAAAAAAACATCAAAATCTAACAAATACATTAATTCATTCTAAAAGAATAATGTTGCTAAGAAACACTTTCAATTTTGTTGTCCGTTCTTCAAGCATCAACTTCTTCAAGCATCAAATTCTTCAAGCATCAACTTCTATGAAAACATATCCAATTGTAGTTTAGAATCCAATAACGCAATAGCAAATGATAAATAAAAAACTATATTCCTTTGGAAAAATATGCGGACTTATTAACTGCACCAAAACCAATAACCAAAAATTGTAGAACATGTATAATCACTGAGAAAATATCCATATTCCATTCCAACAGAATTAGAATTCGTGTTTCCATTCCGATAGAATTTGAATTCGTGATTCCATTCTAATAGAATTGGAATTGTATAAAATACACAAACCACTAAGGGATTACTAGAAAGTAGTTTCATAAGTTGATGGACAAATATATGAATCATACACAGAAAGGAAGAGTAAAATTTGTGATAACTTGGACGCCTCTTACAGATGACCAACCATCCATGAAATTGAAAACCATCATATGATGAATATTAAAATGAAAAACTCATCAAGTCTCCACACAACATATATGCTCGAGGAGACAAGTTTTTGTCATCATTGTTTTATATAAAAAACAATCAAGTTAATACAAATAAAAAGAAAACTTACTATGAAAGTAATCGGAAGTTCATGAATCATAAGTCAATCACTGTAATACATGTCCGGAAATGTAATCGGAAGTTCATTCACCTTTGATTGTCTTTGAAAATCAAACTAAATTCCTAAAAATTACTAAAAAAGCATAAATGATCCCATCCTTTAATCTACAACTTCAAAAAATTTACAATTCATATAATCAATCATAGAAACGTATCGACATGATACAAAAAAAATCAATAGGAAACTGATCGAAAGCATCAGAAAATCGATTTGAGAAGTTATCAGAGACTAAAAAATTCGATCAAAAGCGTCGGAAATCAATTTGATTGTAACGTACCTGGTTCGTTGTGAACAAAGACAAACCTCCAGATCGTGCGTGCGATTTCATTCCCAAGTGTTTTGACAGTCTATGAAGTGGTGTTTGTAGACAACGATTGTATGGGAAATTAGTGGTGATTGTGGCGTAAATCGGTAGTGATTGAGGTTAATAATCGACCCTTAGTGAGTGCGTCCAATTTGATCCTCAGTATGGTGTTGAAAGTGGTGGAAATCGACATCAAAGAGATTCGTTGGACGGAAGCGGCGACTGGAGAGGGGAAGCGGCGATCGGAGATGGCGATGGACATTATTAGGGATGCCGTCTACAAAAACAAAAAAGGTAGGGATTTCTAGATATAAACCTGGAGAAATTATGAAAAGTCAATACCATGATTATAGGGATTATTTTTGGAAGTTATTAATCAAATTACTAAATTACCCTTATTTATTTATTTAATTATTTAATTTTGATTGACCCACATTTATGCATACAATAACACAATAATTACTTTAAACACCTGAACCTATCTCCCTCTCTCTATATAATATATATATATAATATATATTATATATATATATATATATATATATATTTGTGTGTGTGTGTGTGTGTGTGTATTATGTATGACTTGATGAAAACATAGTAATCAATGTTTAATAATTTTGCGGAAAAAATATATCGAAAAAAAGATATTTAACCTTTGAGAAATGGAAAATAAAAGAATGGATATAATAAAAAACACTACATAAATACACACACATATATATATATATATATATATATATATATATATATAATATATATATATATATATATATATATATATATATACTCACACATGAAAATTAATATTAATAAGATATACAATAAAACTGCTACTATTGTTATATGAATTAATGCTAAAAAATTATAAAAATAGAGGGAAATGAAAACAATTTACTATGAATTACCTATGAAAATAGAAAGCTTACCGCCTTTTTTCACTTTTGTAGGTAATTTGTTGTTAATTTCCTACAAAATTCTACAACATTACAATCTGGATTAAAGAATTGGTGTTATTCAATTTTCCGTTGCTATCCTGTAGGTAAATTCCTACAGAATACCTACATAGTACTAATTTGGAATAAAATACTGTTGTCCGTAGGTAATGTATAGGTAATTACCAATGGATTACCTACAAAAGTATTTTTTGTCGCTAATCTATCAATAGTTTGTAGGTAATTTAGGACAAATATTTTAGTAGCTACCCTGCTGGTATTTCATAGGTAATTACCAACGGATGTTCTTCCGTAGGTGATTTTGGTAGGCAAATGAGAATTTTCTAGCGGTGAATTTTGCCTCGATCCATCCTTTACAATAATCAGAAAAGCTTCAAAGTATGTCCTTGAAATGTGAGCTGAAATTTATTTTGTACATAAATAAATGATTATATTATAATTTAATGTCTAATAGATATTAAGCTAAAAATGATATGTAAATACGAAATGTTTATAATAGACAAATACATAAAGAAGACAGCACTAAAATAAGTAGAGTCCTGAACCCATATCTACACTTATAAGTATGTCCAAATTACCGTCTTTGCTTTAGACGAGCGTTTAATTATATATATAATTTCTCTTAGTATATTATGATAATTAAGATGCATCCGTGTAACATGCCCACTACATAAATCTTCGCAAACAGACCTTGGAATTCTTGACACCATTCTCTCGGACAACAACAACATCCAACTTTTGAATCTTGCTTTTTGATTATTGAATCCCTCGAATCTCCTAGTTTCCAACTCTGCATAGTTCTTGATCGAAACATAAGTTGATTTCCTAAGATTCGACTATGGAAGCTGAAAAGAACATGAAGAAAATTGTTTCGATACAAACGATTTTACCTAGAAAGAAGAAGAATAATAATGATGATAACCGGCTTTTGATCACTGTGAATGTGGTTGGGAGTTCTGGGCCATTAAGACTTGTGGTGAACGAAGATGATAAAGTGTCGACTGTTATGGATTCGTCGTTGAAGTTGTATGCTCGTAGTGGGCGCCTTCCAATTCTTGGATCAGATTTCAAGGATTTTATGCTTTATGCATTGACTGAAGGATCAGGTATGATATCAAATCATATTGCATTTAGAGTTGATTAATCTATATAGTTGTTTTTTATTAGTTTACTAAACATTTTTTGTGTTCTCATAACAGCATTGAATCCTAGTGAAGAAATAGGATCATTTCGAGGGAGAAATTTCGTGTTATGTCAAAAGAAGAACAATCAAGTTGAAGCAAGGTCACGGATATGATTACAAGACAACACAGTGGACGTTGGAAGGGATGTCTTTTATGTTTAGCCGAATAATCGTACGTCTGGTTTCTTTGAGTTAGAACGTTCTAGATGCCTTCTTGTTTTTTATCATCGTATTGTTGTTCTGGATTTAAAACATTTATTTGCCTATGATCACATGTTTTGGTTATAATATACGATTGATTGTTGTAAATGTACATAGTTAAAGACTGTGAATCCGCAGATGTTCGTGTGCATGCGTGCTTCTATTTTGTTTTGGTTTAATAAGTTATTAATTATTATATATCAATAATATTAGATCGTAGTTGATGCTGCAAACGGTGAACGGCTACAGACGGTGGTTGTGGTGGTGTAGCTGGCCTATGCGTGGGAATTGGTGGTTCGTAGATAACAACCTTACGCTCACCAGGTGGGTTGGTTCTTATTGTTTAACTTTTAACAAGTAATGGTATGTACTAAAAAATTTAGTCTAAAATTGTAAATGAAATAACTATTGTTTTCCAAAAACTTACATTCGCGTATGAATTTTGTTTTATCTATGTTTTTATTTGCTCTTCCACTGGATTCAAGTAGCTATGTGATCGTACATTATATATTCTTTATTTTATTTTGTAAGTGAAGATTTTTCCAATTGACCTATAGTGAACACCTCTATATCCTATGAGTTTGAAAGATATTCACTGTTGGAATTATATGGAAGAAAAGGTTGGATTGTGTTCTTCTTTGTACGACATAGACCTAATAGAATTAAAATCAATATGCGTTTATATGGAACTTTATCTCTCTACCATGTAAGACAGAATGTTGTAAAGCAAAGAAGAATGACACAAACATGGGTGTTCATGTGCAGGGGCGGAGTTAAGATTTTAGGATAAACGGGCTTACATCGTAATAAGATATTAAAATATTTTTATATCCGAATAACATAATTTAGTCTGTAAAATTGATATAGAAAATAATTGTGTAGATATAGACTACATTGATCTTTGCAATAATCAATCTTCAAATTTTTTAAACAATTTTCGTTAAAAAAATGTTTTCAAACGATTATAAGCATTGATTTTCATCCATTAGTTATCTTAATCGTGTTTGTCTTTGTTTCATAAAATATAAATCATATATAACTTTTATGAGTGGAAAAAAAAACTAGCTATATCAATTTACAATTAAGATAGAAATTTATAAACATGAATTAAAATAAATAAACCAAAGCAATCCGGCGATTAAAATAAATGTGTGTATAACCTAATTTTTTTTTTTGAAACGACAAATCTAACCTACTCTTAAAATACATCTTAAATCCACATATGTCCACGACGGGACTTGAACCCTCAACCTCATGAGGGAGGGCAACACCAGATACCGTTGGGCTAGAAGCCCTTTGGTATGTATAACCTAATTAGTTAGTTAATAAATGCGAGACTTAATTTTAGACATAATTGTCATACCTTTTATTTTTTGTATAGTAATTGAATTTAATAAAGAATGAGAGGGGTTGAACACTACTTAAGTACACAATCTACCTTAATAAATAAGAATGATTTTGTCACATGTCATTCTCTTATTCAATTGGCCACATGTCATTTTGTCATAATTTTGAGATATATTTATTTTCCACTTGCCATTTATTTCAATTTTTATTTCCAATATATCATTAATTTAGTTTCTATAAATTAAACCTACCATAATGACTATTAATTTCAAAATTGAAATTTGAATTTAGAAATTTTAATTTCAAATTCAAATAAATTTACATTTTAAACCTTTATATTTAACATAATGTTATAATTAACCCGTTTAGTATATGAGCGTGACAGCTAAACACATAATTTTAGTTTATTTATTTTTTGCATGTTTTTTTCTCGTAATTTTCACTTATTTTAGATTTCAAATATAAATACAATTCTCATGTAATCGTTCCTATTCAACATTTTGTTTTAATCAACCCGTATAGTATATGTTTTAATCAACCCGTATAGTATACAAGTCTCACAACTAGTTAGTAATAGACGAAGTGGGCTTCTAACTATTCGGGGAGTTTTAAGCTAAGGGAATTTTATTATGAGAAATTAAATATCCTCCTACATTTTCTTACTACTTATGTTCCTACCCATGTAAAATGGTAACATGTGTCATATTTGGATAAGATTATCTTTAATTTAGTACATTTGTCATCATTTCAAATGGGTAGGAGGATATGTAGAAAGAAAAGTAGGAGGATATTTAATTTCTCTTTTATTATTTATGTTGGGTTCAAGTGTTGCGTCTTTGGGCTCGGTTATTGGTCCATTTTGTTTACCCGGTTTGGGCCTGTCCAACCGTGGATTACTATTAGGGTTAGTATATATATTGTGCATGCATGTATAGCTTTTGGGGATTGTTTCTCATTTACTTTGCATTGTAACCCTAGCACACCTCTACAGTCGAAGTTCTTCATCGAGCTCTTCTGGGTGTGTGTGAGTATTAATCATTCGACACCATTGATCCATTCATGTGTTCATTACTTTGTTTTTCTGTTTAGAATCTAATGATCTGTCGTGCTATAATCCAACAATTGGTATCAGAGCAGGAGACTGTGTAATACATATGCATCTCTTCTGTTTGAAGAATCCTTTAGGGTTTCCGCTTTTATCAATATATAGAAGTTGTCCTCTTCTTGTCGACGGTATTTCTTGTGTTTGATAAAACCCTAAGTTCAACATTACAAGTCTGATTCTAACAGAAAAAGGTCGTCATGTCTCACGATGACTCTCAAATCAATCCGATCAACATCTCCAACAGTATAGGATCAACTACAAGGATTCCCATTCTTTATACTCAAGATTATGAAGTGTGGGCGCATCACTTCGAAGACTATGTGGTTGGATCTGAAGACAATGGCTACTTGATCTGGGAAGCAATAACATTGGGTCCGTTTGTTCACTCTAGAACAAACCGAATGGTCAAGACTCAAAAAGAGTATAACAAACTCTTGGCGGACGTAGATAAGATCCCTCAACACGAAAAAGACAAGGTGTTATGCAACGTTAAAGCCATGAGGATGATCCGATTCGCATTGCAATCCGATACTTTTCGTCTGGTGAGTTCATGCACAACAGCTAAAGAAATATGGGATAGGTTGAAAGAATTATATTCAACCGATGAAGATCTAGAGCACTCGATCCAAACCCTTTTGGTCTCTGAGTTCGGTGCTTTCGAACAAAAACCTGAAGAGAAGCTTGTTCAGACATTTGATCGCTTCAACCATCTGCTCAGTAAGATGATGAAGCATGGCATTGAAAGGAAGGTGATTGAACAAAAAGGTACCTTCATGAATGGATTAAGGCCCGAAGGATGGCGGTGTTTCGACTGTGAAGGCTCATTAGCAATTTAAGTCATATTCACTGGCGAAATTGATGGTATTCTCAAATCTCATGAAAAGGTGGTGACAAAGGCGCGAAGGTAGTTTCGGGTGTGGGTTCATTGGCCCTTGTTTCTAAAAGCAAGAATGTAGCTGACGAAGAGGAAGAATCTGATATGTCAGAGTGTGATCTATCCAACGAAGAATATGTTATGATGGTCACAAACCCAAAGAAGTTTGCTCGCAGAAAGTTCCAGGTCAACAAGAACCGAAACTAGCAGGGAAGCTATAGTTCTGAAAAGGTGAAAGAAGAACCGAAGAACACCACTCAAAAGGACGACGAAAAGAAGGAGAGTAAGCTTGTGGGAGACTCTGGGTACGATTGCAACTACTGTCTGTTGGGTTTTAGTATACTACAACATCCTATGGTGCACATATAACCCTAAATACCTTGGATCTATGTTTTCTATATTATACATGCAAATATGAAGTTTCCAAGATATTACCCTATACTAGCATACAAATATCATATACTTGGGGTAATAAAATAGATAGAATACATACCTTTTTTTTGATGTAACTTGTCTTCATGAAGCTTGAGTGCCTAGTGCCCCAAGTGTGACACCTCAAATGATTCACACAACACCATGAACACTTGGAATAACCTTGAGAATAAGGATACTTTGGTTCTCTCTAGTGAAATCGGCCTCGCCCTTTTGTGTACACACACTAGTTCCAATTTCACCAACCAAGGACATCTTTATATAGTGTGGAGATTAGGGTTAAACCCTAATACCCATGACCTTTCATTTCATATGATCCATGGGTTAAACACTCCATGGACTATCCATGAAAGCTTAGCCCAACCTAAATGAACTTGGCCCATCACACACATATATCTTAGAGTCCATATTTAATTAGTTCATTTTGATCACTTAATTAATTATAAATTAATTCTTGATCAATACTAATTAAATAATATGATTATATATTAATATATTAGAACTTATAATATATTAATATAAATCACTAGTATCCTTTTTCCCTCATCTTGTCTATCCAATTGTCCCGATGCCATGCAACCCAAATGGACCATGCCGGGTCGGGTCAAGTTTTACCAATTATAGTTATGGACTTAGACATTAATCCAACAATCTCCCACTTGGATAAGTCTAAAACTATTATTGAGTATGACTTCAAACCCCGACTAGCAATCGTAGCTCTCAAAAGCTTCTGTCGAACTCTGACCTGCCGATGAACTCTGACCTTTGTCAATGACTTGTCCATTAGATAAGGGATCATATATTCCTCCATTCTAGATATCATATGGACTGAGACATGGATTATCAATCATTCTCTCTGTCCATTTGTTGTTTCCCGATTTCCGATTTATGATGACTGACTGATTGAACAAATCAAATCAGTCCTGGCTTGGCCAAGCACTCACATGTGTCATCAATAAATCATCGAGGGGCCCACAGATATCGCTTTTATCCCGAAGGTAAAAGGAATGGATAAACTTCGACTCATATGGCTTGTTCTACTACTTGTTGAATCATACACAAAGGCACGTTTTATAACATCGAGTTACCAATGCGTTTTCGTGCAATCAATGTAGAACCAACTCATAGTAACAACTCATATCTCTAGGTTTGAAG